GCATCTGAAATTTTGTAAGTATATACTAAAAGGTCACATGCAACGTAAAACAGAACTTTGCAGATTCTGATACCTTTCGGTATGGACTTACCGAAACAAATCATCAAAAGTGCAAATTCTACTTATTTTAGAGTTGAAAAATAACGCGATGAAAAAATCCGCGCGAAATCGGAGTTCAAACGATTCACTAATTTTCCCCCAGCGCGTGGGGGGAATTGAAGTGGTTTCAACAGCTGGGATGCGCTCATAGAACATGCGCAGTGAAATAGGTTCGCGCAGCTTGGAAGCAGGTTGTCCGGTGAATACTCGGCGAAGGCTTTGGTGTGAGCTATTTTTCTAATGTTTTGTTGATATTTCACAGGCGCGAGCTTTTCATATGTTATTACAGTAGATAACCGATTTCACTGTTTATATAATTTCATTTGTCTATTTCACCATACGTTCTTCTTACCGAGTCACTTTCTCAGTTTTTTAATTATGGTTGATTTTGTTTGTTGCATGTGACCTTAAAGGTAAGACAATCTACTCCAAATTTTTTGGTTTATGGGGAACTCGGTAGATATCCTTTTGAAGTAATGATTAAAACAAGAATAATAGGTTACTGGTGTAAAGTCATTACTTCAATACATAAGTTTCCTCATATAGTGTATAGTGTAATGGCTATTGTGTCAACTTGTTTGGGTATTCAATTTGATCTTTTAATTGTAGTGAAAAGTATACTTGAAGTAATGATTAAAACAAGAATAAAAAAGTTATCTTATATATGGCAGTCCCAAAGGTTTCCTTCCGCATCCTGGCTGAAAACCTATGTTAAATACACACTTATAGATCAGTTTAAGCAATCACGGAATGCTGACCTTCAAAACTCATCAAAAGGTAAATACTACTCCTTATATAAGCATACTGCCAACTTAGAACCTTATTTAATCAGTCTCCCATTGAAACAACGTATCTGGTTAACAAAACTGCGAACATGCAATCACAGATTACCGATTGAAACCGGCAGATGGTATAACATAGACACAGAAAATAGAATATGTACAATTTGAGAGCTTCGAAAATATAGGCCCTGAATCCTGAGTGCTGAGTATCCCCCGTTCTTCCGCCAAGATGGCGGCCGGCATTGACACTGCCCTTGTCTACCACCATCTTTGATCTACCTGTTGATTTGCTGCCAGTAAGGGTAGGTGAATCGTGCGTGCGTCACAGCAAACTCACGCTACCCGGATTCTCCACCATCTGTCCAAGAGCGTCCGTTGTGGTGCACTCGGATGGTAGTTCAAGAGGCGGAAGACAAGTCAGGTGTGAAGTTGAAGACAGCAGCAGCCATGTTTATTATGGTTGGGGAATAATGGTAGAAATGGTACATAAGATGGAAATCACGTGACAGAACGCACATCGGGACCGAGTGGCCAATGTTCCCGATGTGGAGACCCGCTCTGTCACTTACACACATTCAGAAGTCGGACGGTGATTCTTCATCGTCGACGTAGTCGTTGGTGAGACGACGGCCTTGGCCGACGCCCCGACTAGCCGCACAGTCCGTCCGCTTCGGTGGATGATCTGGGCCCGTCTCGTCGCCTCTTCTCTGACTGGTCGCCCTGCTTGGTCTCCCTCATTGACCATGTGAGTCCGGTTTTATGCATTGGGACATTACGCCACGTTGTGCAAGGTCACTGACCTGTGTACATGTACATACGTAAGATCCGCCGACGTGGGGAGAAGTTAATTGACATTTACTGATGGCATTGAGAATTAAGGGTCCTGCCCTGAGGGGAGTTTATGATAAAAGGGCTACACCGAATGATTGCTGAATACATTAAACAGACAAAGGGGATAGAATTTCGGTGCAATTTGGATATATATGGAAACAATTATGTTGTTTGAATATATGAAGTTTTACAGAAACTTATTGAAAAGGTTTACTCTATGACATATGCAAGATTTGAACATGTCATTGGTTTGGTGTGAGTTTGTTTAGTTTCTACTACTAGATTGGCATGAGGCCAGGAATACTATACTAAAATGAAATTTCAACTTTCTCTCTTGAAATGTTAAGATAACTAGTTTCCTCGGAATACACGTGTCAATTGTACATGTTTCGTTTGTTCATTACTTTAAATTGACATTACAAACTTACTATATAGAGACTCTCAATTGTCATCTGATATAAACTTACAAATATCCGAGGTTTGCCGAGGTATTTTTACCTTTAATCAACGAGATGATAAATTTGATATCAGAAAACACGAGGGTGAGAATTTATTTATCATCCAAAATCATTCTTCATCTGAATTTATCTGAATACACGTACATAACTGCTATTAGGCTCCTTGAGCAGTGATCCCAGTGGGGTCATAACATTGTGACGTCATTAACTGTGTATTGTCAGCTGTGTTCTTAGAGATGTCAAAGCATTGTGAGGTCATAAACTGACGATGTTATAACATTATGACAATTCAGTTGTCGCGATATATACAATGTAGATATCGCTTGGTCTCACACAAGCGATATCTACAATGGGGGTCAGTTTTGGATGATAAATGGAGAATCTCACCCAAGTGTTTACTGATATCAAATATATCAACACGTGTTGATAAAAATACAAATATCGGAGGGTTGCCGAGGATTTTTTACTTTTATCAAAGAGTGTTGATATAATTGATATCTGTAGACAAGAGGGTGAGAATCTATTTATCATCAAATTCACTTTCAATGAAAAATGTACATCTCTGAACACGGTAGTAGAATAGCAGTGCAGCGATGTCATAGCATTGTGACGTCATCAAGTCCATGACGTCATAGCATTGTCAGGGCATTGTACAAAATCTACTGTCCTAGGAGATATCGTCTGATCTCACACAAGCAATATCTCCTGTAGAACAGTTTTGGATGATTAATTGGAATTTAAAAACAAATGCCCTTACACACAAAAAACAAAACAAATACCCCTCCCCCAAAACAACAACAACAACAACAACAACAAACAACAACCCAAAACCACAAAACCAAAAATACCCAAAACACAACAACACTCAATAAACAGAAAGCCAACTAAAACAAACAAAGCAAGGTGTCTAAATAAACGTCCGTAATCCCCGCCTTCATTGTGCCAGTAAGGACCCGTGAAGATCCGGGGTAGAATAGGTCTTCAGCAACCCATGTGCTTGCCATAAAAAAGGCGACTATCTTGTCGTAGGAGGCGACTAACGGGATCGGGTGGTCAGTTTCGCTGACTTGGTTGACACATGTCATCGGTTCCCAATTGCGCAGATCGATGCTCATGCTGTTGATCACTGGATTGTCTGGTCCAGACTCGATTATTTACAGACCGCCGCCATATAGCTGGAATATTGCTGAGTGCGGCGTAAAACTAAACTCACTCACTTGTGCCAGTAAGTTTCCGGGTCTGAAGCAACTAGTGCTTGTGATGAGTAGCGAGAGACGGGATCTGGTGCACTGGTCGATGCATGGTACAATACTCATCCCTGACGTCATCTTGGTGGATAACAACTCGGGATTACATAACCTACAAACAGTATTAACACACTATTGTAAACACGGTCTAAACCACTGCTCACACACTAACCCATAACCTCCTGTAACTTGCCGCAGATTTCAACAGACGGGATCCCGGACAGGGATGGTTGTGCTTTGTTCACGGACATCTTCTGTCAACAGATTCCAGCGGACGACAATCTACATCCTGTATTGCATCAATAACGATTACTTTGAAAATACTGAGGCATTGACGTAAGATTAGAATATATATGTAGATTATTATTTCGTGACACAGCTTGACCGGAAGTGACGTTTTCCCGTTGCAGGGAAAGTCCACGCAGACACTGTGTCATCACCTTGACTAGTAAACCGTCAAAAAACATCACGACGACTGGGAATGAAACCTCCCGGATTTGTCGTCTTCTGAAGTGATCAACAACATGACGAAGTGAACGATAGCCCCAGGTGTGATGCGATATGGGGTAAAACTCTCAAAGTTTGATCCGTTCGATTTCTCAAATCACCAACTGTGCTTGAAAACATAACAAACGTTTCAAAATCGGGATGCAACGTTGGCAGATTAATGGGAACTCATTTGGGTAAAAGAGGGGGATATAAATGGACGCAATAAACACCATATTTGCATTTATCAGAAATTATCCCACACTTTTTATATTTCTCTATATACAAGACATGACATTACACGTACATTGAGTTGCATAATAGAATGTTGTACAGACTGACTGACTGAGTTTGGTTTTACGCCGCTTTTAGCAATATTCCAGCAACATCACGGTTGGGGACACCAGAAATGGGCTTCACACATTGTGCCAGTGTGGGGATTCGAACCCGGGTCTTCGGCGTGACGAGCCAACACTTTAACCATTAGGCTTCCCCACCGCCCCGAATGTTATACAGAATCACACACTTTGGAACTTAAGTACAACACTTCCCATCTGTCTTCCGTGGTTAGATGTGTATACATATATGTGACCGACGTTTGAAACCCATTCCTAAAACCAGCTTGCTGACCAGAATAACGTATCTGTAATATAATGAATTACAAAAGTAAATATTTTATTAGAGATACACGTGATAGGGCTATCACTCGGTTATTATCAATACTTTTTGAATCACCTTCCTCAGGCAAGCAGAATACCAATTAGAATACCCCAAAAAATTAAAAATACATAAATAAATAATATAATTCAGCTTCTTGCTAATCGAACAGTTCCGCGTTGTGGATTCCGCCACGCAATTTAAAACTTCCGTCCGCTGTGACATGATTCAACTTACTGCGGGATTTTCAAGATGTTGTAGTTCGCTGTTAATACACTGCCGATGGGGTTGAGGAGATTGGCGGACATCACGTGACCCTACACATTACAGTACGACACATGTATATGTATATCCTGGGGAATCCCCACAATATATCGTATATAACACATCAAATCAATGCACTCTTCACTTCACTTCAAACTTTGTTTGCTGTACAGAATTTTGCTGAAGTAAAACATTTCAAAGTCGATGTCCAACATGATTTATGAGCTTTGTGTTCTGGTGTGTGTAGGGATCCTCTCTACATCCGCTCTACCTGTTGACGACGCCTGGAAACACGTGGTCAGACAACGTCGTAACGTCGCCAACTGTCAACCACCTCAAGATATCAACCAACTCTTCCAAAGTCTCAACGCCAACACCGACGTCTCCATCTTTCTTCGTAACGCTCAAGGTGCCAGACCAGGGTTATATTTACATGGAGAGCTGAACACCCTCCAGGTATTCGACAGTTCCAACCTCGACGGCATCACCTGTCCCAGCAGCGTCAGTGACGACCCTAACGACCCCCTGTGGAGGAGATCCCTCTGTCCCTGGTACTACAACGTCACCAACCTCCCCGCCGGTCACTACCCAAGTGCCATCCCCCAGGCCGTGTGTAAGTGTGACAAGTGCGTTGACAACAACCAAAACCAGTGCGAGAGAGTTTCCACTCAAATCCGAGTTTTAGAAGAAACTGGTTGTGAAAATGGTTTCTTTGTCTACAAACCCAAACTCATTACTCACTTCGTTGGGTGTACTTGTGCCAAAAGCCGGACAACAACAGTGGGTTCCAACACCGCCCCGAAAGCATCAGACGGTGGAAGCGATTGTGGGGATTATGGATGTGCCGAATAGACGGGAGACTTGTAGACGATGTCACAGATTGATGATGTCTTCTTACAGTGAAACATTTCCAGTGAGGAAATACCCAGAAAGTCAGTGTCTGACAACCGTCCCTTTAAGCTACATATTTATTGTTTAAACATTGCAATTCCGTCCCGGTATGAAATAACATGTACTTTGTGTTTTTCATACATCACCACGACATTTCCTGAATCCATTTTTATTCATAAATAAATTATAAATTATTGAATGGTTTTAATTACTGTGGTCATTTGCACTTATCATACATTGTGATATTTATTGTTTACCACTCATTGTAGTTAATATCTAATAATTATGTTTTAATGTTTTATTGATAAATGATTGTGTATATTTTATACTTATTGTGAATATGTGGATTTGTACATATACAGCGCCATATTGCTATGGGCATTAGGAGTACAACGCATCAAGTTAAATCTTGCTTGTTATTGTTATTGTTTATCATGATATACTCAATGTCATTCCATTCACCCAACATCTGTTGTACATGTATACTGTTATTTTTTTGTTAACACGTTGAATAAACATTGTTTTCTAAAAGAGAGTTTTTCCTTCTCCGCCAGTGTCAAATAATATTCAAGGATCTGGCCACTAGTCACTCGTCACAACCACACATGTTACCATATTTTGAATGTACGTGCCATACGATTGGCCAGTCGCTGTCTCTCCAAAACCAATCCTTTCATGCCCGCTTCTCCGTACGACCATTCCGACGTCATAGGGGATATCATATGAGTGCCCATGGCATACTATGTTCACGACACGAGTGCCTAAATGTTGGTATTTCCCGAGCGAGAGCGAGAGATATACCGATATTTAGGCACGAGTGTGGTAAACATAGTACGATACGGACTCGAATATGATATTCTGCTTATTACCGAAGTCGTCAAATTGAGGAAAATAACCCAAATCTACTTTCAAACATAGGCTCTCTACCCGCCGTCGCCGCATGTAGAACGCAACGTCACAGAAGAAACGTGACGTCATAGCATTGGTCATGACGTCACGTCACCATGACAAAGAGATATTTTGCTCTAGGGCATCGTTTGAAAAATATGAACCCCGATATTTGCGATCTCGTAGATAATAAATAGAGAATACTACACGAGGTCTCATTACATACGAATTATACGAAACGAGTGTCCTTCCTATGGTATGGTCCTTCGTATAATTCGTATGTAATGAGACCGAGTGTGGTATTTTATTTATTACCCACGTCTTACATGCATTAAATTGACAAAATATCGTATTTTTGTTAATATTTTGGTTTCAAACCGAAACCGGTTTCATAAAGAGGTTGTGGAAGAGTTTTGTACTGTAGTACAACATTTGCATGACGTCACACTGTAATGACGTCACTCCCTTGGTAACCGACGTCACGATGCATGGCAGTTGTCATCGCCTCGTACAGCCTCCTACAGTAAACTACTCCGTAGCACCACGTTTCTTGGTTTGCAGTTGCTTCATTCGTCTAACATCACTGGTGGAAACATTGCATCATGTTTTTCGACGAATATAATGTCTCAGTTCGACTCACAATTAAACAGCGACACGGCAACGTTCGCAATGTTTACATTCCCACAATGCATTTAGTTGTAGAATGAATGAATTCACGTGTTTGTTATGAATGAACAAATAGTTACGTCAGAATGTGACCTAATTGAGAGGTCATCGGTTATCCAATCAAATCGTTAGAATCTCAGGTCAAGTCGTTACGACACAGGTCAATGCGATACGACGCTCGTGTGACGTACGAGATTAGTATGCAACTACCCATACCTTGACCACGTGGGTAATAAACATAATTATCATCCAAAACTGTGTTCCACAGGAGATATCGCTTGTGTGAGATCAAACGATATCTCCTAGGAGATATCGTTTTGACAGTAGATTTTGTACAATGCCCTGACAATGCAATGACGTCATGTACTTGATGACGTCACAATGCTATGACATCGCTGCACTGCAAGTCTAATGGCAGTACCATGTTCAGAGATGTACATTTTGCATTGAAAATTAATGAAGAGTGATTTTGGATGATAAATAGAATCTCACCCTCGTGTCTTCTGATATCAAATATATCAACACTCGTTGATAAAGGTAAAAAACTTTATCAACTCGTGTTGATATAATTGATATCAGAAGACACTTGGGTGAGATTCTCTATTTTATCACATCCCAACAGTGTACCTGTGATCATTCTTATCTATGTCACCTACAGAATACAGCAATACAAACGTGACAAATTACATCACAATAACTTATGACGTAATTTGTGAAACTTTGTTGCCCAAAACAATGCTCTGTGACGTCAGACTGCTACAGGGTTGTCGAGTCCCTGAGCGCCTCTCTGTGTTCTTTGCTGAGAACGGCCTCACGAGAAGTTGTGGCGCTGTATTCTGAAGGTGCTCCTATCAAATAACTGATATTATCGATGAAATTTCTAACTGATCAAATTTAAATATTGTCTGTAATACTTCGCTGTTTATATTGACTGAACAATTGCAGTATGAATACCACAGATGTAGGTCAGTATGTCAGCGAGAGAGCGACAGAGAATCTTCCAAAGATGCGAAACAAATCTCTCCCTCTACATCATACATTCAGTCTCCTAAACTTAACCTGCACCATCCTCATTCTTGATCCCATTATTTGCTGAAGAAAGCGACCTAGGACTGTCATTAAACTGATAGTGAACGTCATCCACGAGATGCAGCCATACACTCTTAGCCAGACAAGGAAGTATTAGCCGCCATGATGTACAGTATATAGAGCAGGGCAGTTGATGGCCTTCCGCCTTATGAAGTGATATAATAAAACTACATCGTGAAATACACGGGCCGGGAGCTCCGTCCACATTGAGAGAGAGTAGCACGTAGCGGGGTTGGCCATGGGGGCCTTTATTGTCGAGAGCTGATTAAGGCGTAATGGGAACGAAAGAAGTGGGGTGGGGACACGGAAAGGTATCACAGCTATAGGGGGTTTATTTAACTGAAATAATTCCGAACTCTACTGAGTTACTGATCATGTATTACAGGGTAGATGGTGGGTGTATTTGTGGGTGGTGGTGTTAGCGGTGTTCGTGTGTGTGAGAGTGAATGAGTGAGTGAGTGTGAGTGTGTGTGTGTGAGAGAGAGAGAGAGAGAGAGAGAGAGAGAGAGAGAGAGAGGAGAGAGAGAGAGAGAGAGAGAGAGAGAGAGAGAGAGAGTGAACATGTTCCCTGAAAGATTAACTATTAGTCATATAAACTATGTTACAGGTCTTCGACAGCCCCTCCCTTCCCAGACTCCTTACCATTAACGATCACCCTATCAGACATTGGTAGCTGAAGACCAAGTGTAACCCGGGGCCCCCTTTTACACAGCACTAAGGTGATCGTAAGCCTAGTGCAATGTTAAAGAATGGGAGTTAAGGTTAACCTTAGTAAAGGTTTGCTTCGTGAACGGAGCCCCAGGTCTTTACGAGTTTCATCCAGATCGAGACGAAATAGCGCCATGCCACGGTATGCCGAAGCCCCGGGTTCGATTCCCCACATGGGTACACTGTGTGAATCCCATCCTGGCGTCCCCCGCCGTGATATTGCTGGAATATTACTTACATTTATCAGTTTGTACGATCTGTTATCGTTGATCTATTTACGTATGGCTGTGCCCCGTCTGGGGACCTCGGTATAACGTATTTTTGTGAGCGATACAGAAATTTACACATTTTGAAATCATAAACCCTTTTTCAACACCCTCGTACTAAAATTAGCATCTTGGAAACTAAATTATCTCTGATACTGTAGAAATGTTTGCTCACGGAGCAAACCGGATGTAGTTGCGTAGAAGCTGTATATGTTGTAAAAACTCTTCAAGAATCTCATTGGCTACTCACGGGAGGCTCACACGATGCTGATTGGCTCATTTCGCCGTGGGAATGTGGCGCTATCGAGCGAAGCACGTCAGAAACAACGTCACAATCACTTGCCACCCCCTGTCTGTACTTTTGTAAATTGAAATTAATATTGGGGAAGGACTTGACTAACATCTAGTCTCTGAAGTGACATTATTTTACATAGAAAACAGTTCCTAAATTAATATCATAAAATATAATGAAAAGGAGCCCAGAGTATTTCTTCATTTTCAGAAACCGAAACTGTGGCAATCTAGACTTGCCACATATTCTAGACTTGCCACATATTCTAGACTTGCCACATATTCTAGACTTGCATGGGCTACATGGGATATATTTATTTGAGGGTCCAGACTACAGACTAGGGGAGGACTACTAAAGAGACCTGGATCGGACAAGCCAGTAGTCGTGGCAAGTTTGGTTTAAATCATTTAAATACTCAACGCGAATATTGGACTTCTGACAACAATTTCATGCATTCGATCCAACTTATGTTCCCGCTTTACACAGGGCACTAATTACAACATTTATGTATTGTCTCCGTTCTACTACTGCTGCTGTAGTCTGTCGTACAGACCCTGAAGCAAATATATCCAAGAAAGTCCACGCAAGTCTTGAAAATGTGGCAAATCTAGATTTCCTCAGCTTCTGAAAATGAAGAAAGTCTCAGGGCTCATTTTCATTATATTATATTATTTTTACTATGAACTTTTTCCAGTAAAATATGTTCATTTCAGAGACTAGTTGTTAGTCTACTGCTGCTGCTGCTACTGTTGCTGCTACTACTACTACTGCTACTACTGTTTGAGAGGGATGCCAGGACTAGTCAACTTTTTGTTGTACAATAGCGACGTTTCGGGTTGATCAAAACGTAGTCGGCCTAACTATATTCTCGATGTCCAATGTTTGAAATGCTTCCATTTTATTTTGAAGGAATCGTTAGCAAAGCCACATCCAAAATTTCACATATGTGGGTAATGTGGTTAACGAGATATTAGTCATCATAACATATTGGGGTATAATATTTCTAAAAACCCTATTGTGTCCAGATATTCAAGCTGGCACTGTTTACAATATATTGAGAACTGACACTTGTTTGAACCCCTGACATCATATATGAATAAGTGAAAACATTAGAATAAGTTATGTCCTTATGATTACGTCATTTGAAAGGGGGTGGGTAGTGTCTCCAAAACAAGCTCTTTCAGTACACATGAATTGGGGAGTCACAAGCGACTGTAGTTTAAAATTAAATGTTTATGCACTTAAATATCTAAGTTTGATTGTTGCGGACTACCTATCTCAAACACACAAAATGTTGCTTGAATAATTTGTTTCCTAAAGTTTGTGATGCATTTATTGCAGATTTTCCGTTTTTGGGGAGTACCAAGATAAAAAGTCAAACAAAATGGGGATCGTGAGGCTGGAACATAGTAAAACCAAGTTTGCTTGAGATTGACAGATAATATGTAGAAAAATAAAACATAAAACAGCTGCATTTGTATTATTTTGTAGGTTTGGCCGACCCTCGTACGTATACCGTTTCCAAGCATGAAAAACGGTATGAGAATCTATATGCTTGAAAACGGTATACGTGAACAACGAGGAGAGTTCAATGGATATACAACTTCTTCAATATAATATGAGCGACGTTTCGGTGTAGCTACTAACATCGTTATCATTTGCTTGACCGAAACTTCGCTCATATTATATTAAAGAAGTTGTATATTCATAGAACTCTCCTCGTTGTTCATCTCACCAACTTCTAAATGCCACTCAAACAAGTTAACGGTATACGTATCTATACTGAATCGTCGCTATTGTACAATAAAGAAGTTGATCATCCATAAAGACCTGTCATTCTACTACTACTACTACTACTACTACTACTACTACTGCTACTACTACTACTTCTACTACAACAACAACTACCACTGATGCTGCAACTACTGCTATAACTACAACTGCTGCTGCTACTATTACAACTACTACTATTTTCACTGCACTATAAACTCATGGGTTACTAATACAGTGTTATTATATTCCCTGGACGCCTTCAGCACTTGGCTTCTGTTCCTATCGGGACTTCCCCGAATCATGCATTGCACAAGAGTTGTCTTCTGAACCACAAGCCGTCACTTCCGCCCTGAAGATAACGTCACAGTTGGCGCGTGTCGAATAGCCAGCCGCGTATGTATATTTCCTACACATAAAAAACATAGGATTGGGCCACAGGTTACAGGATTTCATCATATACAGCATTTCTGAGTAACACTACAAGATTTGTTTACCCGAATAATAACATGCATAATGTTCATGTAGCCGCTTAATATGCATGAGTGTTGGTTTAAATGTTTTACACAGATTATAACAATCAACTATTTAATTTAATGAAATTCCTGCTTGACAACGGTATAAGAATTTGTAAAAGTTATATAGATATGTTGTCCGATTATGTTGTCCATTAAGTTATATGGATATATAATGGACAACATAATCGGACAACATATCTATATAACTTTTATGGATAACATCATTTCGTATTTCTTAAGTGCGACGGTTCGAAACAAATACATAATATAATATATATATATATATATATATCATATGCGGAAATGTGCACACATCACTTTTGCCTAGCAAGCATTGTTTCTGTATTGCGTCTTCTTTGACGTCATTAAACAATAGTTGAGTTGAGTTGAGTTGAGTTGAGTTGGGCTTTACGTCACATCGGCATTATTCCAGCCATATAGTGACGAGAACAAGTCTGCATTAATATACATTGTAAGTACAAAGTGGTTTCGTTTCAAAGACATACATTCATTACGTTGTCATTTTAGAACAGAGAATGTCATAGCACTACTTGTTGGTCCCTGCCTTGCGCTCGGCATTAATGGGTACAACAAGGACTGGTCGGCTCGGAGTCAGTATAATGTGTCTGAGTGGGGTATTCATGCTTCACTGCGGCATGGCATCTCAGTGGGCTAGCACTATAAAACCAGCTTAAGTCTGGGCTAGTACACGCAGCCGCACATACACATACACACGCATGCACGTCGTCATATGAGCGAAATTTTCTAAACCCAATTTCACCTCACCTCACCTCCGGTCAGCTGGCTCAAGCTTACCCACGCTTATTACATTTAGCGACGCTATTGCTCTGTGGCGAGCATGTAACATGACGTCAATCACAATGACGTCACAATTGTAGGTATAGATCAAACACCCCACCCCCCCACACACACACACAAACAAACAAACACACAACACACAAACGAACGCACAAACGAACGCACACAACACACAAACACAGAACACACAAATAAACACAACACAAACCAAACACTAACACACAACACACCAACAAACACACACAACACAAACACACAACACAAACCAATTACTAACACACAACACACCAACAAACACACACAACACAAACACACAACACAACACAAACACAAACGACACAGAAACACAAACTCACAACACAAAACGCAAACACACAATTTACACACAACACAAACAAACACAACATACAAACACACAAACACAAACAAACAAACACACCACTCGTGCTGCATGTACTGGTCTATCTAAATGGACCGATCTTGAAGCCGCCCACTCCACCTCCTCATCGATGCTCATTTAGTTGCGGATCTATAGCTGTTAAGCCAGTTGGGAAAGGAGTTCCCTGTCACGCAGGGAATCTGCGATTCCCTTCATGGATACGATACGTGATAATGATGTGATTTTGCTGCAATATTGCTATAGGTTGTCTAAACCAAAGTCACTTACTCACTTGCTCACTCACTCAAATATACACCGTGTCCTGTACAGGTAATTTGATCCTCGACTAAACAGGAAGTAGGAAGGCTTCCATTTAGAAACGACATTTATTCAACTCATGAAAGACAAACAACGGTAGTGATGACAAGCTGCATCTGGATGGAATGCCATTGTGGGTTATATAATTATCTTATTAACTAAATGACAACAAATTGTCAATCAAGACAATTATATAGTCTTTCGTAATACAAAAATACACATAACAAATATGCATCCTTGTAAACATTCCTTCATATAAAATATTTTATAAAAATACGTGAAAATCAAAACAACGATATAGTCTTTCGTAATACAAAAATACAAATAAAAAATATGCAGCCTTGTAAACATTTCTTCATATAAAATATTTTATAAAAATACGTGAAGAAACAACATATCATTCTTGGACGAAAAGCGAAAATGTTTGAAATTGTGGATATCAACCTAAACGGAAGAAGCGGGAGAATTGACGCTCCTTTCCCTGTAAAGTGACGCTATCGTCAACAAGTCTCTCGTGTAGGACGCCCCAAAAGAACCTCCACACCTGCTTTCACTATCTGATACTGTCCGGGTGGTGATCAACCTACTGTCGCTATCGGTCGCTTCACACACGTACAGCCGACGGAGACAGGAACGCTTTTTGGCTTGTAGATAAAGAAACCATTTATACAACCAGTTCGTTCTAAAACTCGGATTTGAGTGGTAACTCTCTCGCACTTGGCTTGGCGATTGTCGACACATCTGTCACATCTACAGACGGCCTCTGGGATGGCACTTGGGTATCGCCGGTTGTTGTTGACGACGTTGTAGTACCAGGGACAGAGTGACCTCCTCCACAGGGGGTCGTTAGGGTCGTCACTGACGCTGCTGGGACAGGTGATTCCTTCTTGGTTAGTGGTGTTGGATACATGGTCGGTGTTCCAACTACCGAGTGACCCTTGTCTGCCATCTTGAGCGTTACGAAGAAAGATAGAGACGTTGGTGTTGGCGTTGAGACTTTGGAAGAGCTGATGGACGTCTTGAGGTGGTTGACAGTTGTCGGCGTTACGACGTTGTCTGACCACGTGCTTCCAGGCGTCGTCAACAGGTAGAGCGGACGTAGAGAGGATCCCTACACACATCAAAACGCACAACTCAAAAAGCATGTTGGAAATGTAAGTTCGTGAAACAGGCAGCTGACTGTCAGAATGTGACGAGGTGCAGAGCACAGGCTAAATGCTGAGCATGGGGATTTAAGTTGACTGTCAGACAGGGGGCTTATTTTATACACCAACAAATCCGGTTACTGGTACTATTTCCGCACTATCATGACTGCAATATCCTTTGGTGACGTGATATGTTTTTTGTTCTGATCAACAAACACACATCTACCTAAACCTAATCAACAACTAATATATATGTACCTTCAACTTTGAAGTGGTATCAACTTGGTATCCCCCGCCCTCTCCCGTGCTCATTATCACGCCTTGAGATGACGCCAAGTCGTGTGGATCCCAACAGCTGCTGCCTGTTGCTGAAGCTGACGATGCTTCCAGACCACGCACACACACTGTACGGTTTAGGTTTATTTAACGTGTAGCCCAGCTTTGGCAGAAACATGATGTAAGCGACGTTTGAGGCTAGAACTACAACTACAACTACAACTAATTAACTCAAGGGCTGGTGTAATGTTATGATATGATGTTATGATTTTTTTGCAACCAGTTGCAACATATGTATTTAAAAATTGTGAGCCTCGTGAAGCACAGGTGTAACGTGGCACCTTAATGCGCCACGACATCAAACCCCCGTTAATCTAGACTCCAGTAATGAGTGAGTGAGTGAGTTTAGTTTTACGCAGCCTTTAGCAATATTCCAGCAATATCACAGCGGGTGACACAAGAAATGGACTTCACACATTGTACCCATGTGAGGAATCGAACCCGGGTCGTTACGAGCGACCGCTTTAACCTCTAGGCTACCCCACCACCCCGAGTGCAGGGCTGTAGCCACCAGGAGTAACTCATGTCGGGTCAGTGATACCAGAATCTCCTCACATCCTCACATCTGTTTCCGAGCACATCCTTCGTGGTCCAGTGACAGCTAGGACTTACCTGTACCACCTATGCTGGTTGCTGGTTGGATACGGAGGTGGGGGAGACAAATGGGGAAACAAATTTGACATATTCTTCTTTTTATTGATTTATTCACGAATTCATCAGTTTCAATTGCAGGTGAAGGGCATATTGAGAAAGATATGGTTACTGATTAAAATTGAAAATTTGGTGATTTTTGTGTGAGAAGGGAAACTGTTTCAAAAGAAAGATGAAATAGCATTTGTAATGAAGCACTCAACTTTATGGATAACAACTTCTTGTTTATTGCATGGAGCATCGTTTCTGTGTAGATTCTTACACCGATATCAAGTTAAAAGTGACAACAGCCATGTGACGAGAAGTATATATAACCTAGTATGTTGTGACAAACAGGAGATAACATGGTATGTTGTGACTGACTGAGTTTGGTTTTACGCCGCTTTTAGCAATATTCCAGCAACATCATGGCGGGGAACACCAGAAATGGGCTTCACAAATTGTGCCCATGTGGGGATTCGAACCCGGGTCTTCGGCGTAACGAGCCAACGCTTTAACCATTAGGCTACCCCACCGCCCCACATGGTATGTTGTGACAAACAGGAGATAACATGGTATGTTGTGACAAACAGCAGATAACATGGTATGTTGTGATAAACAGGAGATAACATGGTATGTTGTGATAAACAGGAGATAACATGGTATGTTATGATAAACAGCAGATAACATGGTATGTTATGATAAACAGGAGATAACATGGTATGTTATGATAAACAGGAGATAACATGGTATGTTATGATAAACAGGAGATAACATGGTATGTTATGGTAAACAGCAGATAACATGGTATGTTATGATAAACAGGAGATAACATGGTATGTTGTGATAAACAGCAGATAACATGGTATGTTATGATAAACAGGAGATAACATGGCATGTTGTGATAAACAGGAGATAACATGGTATGTTGTGATAAACAGGAGATAACATGGCATGTTGTGATAAACAGGAGATAACATGGTATGTTGTGATAAACAGGAGATAACATGGCATGTTGTGATAAACAGGAGATAACATGGTATGTTATGATAAACAGCAGATAACATGGTATGTTATGATAAACAGGAGATAACATGGTATGTTATGGTAAACAGGAGATAACATGGTATGTTATGATAAACAGGAGATAACATGGTATGTTATGGTAAACAGGAGATAACATGGTATGTTATGATAAACAGGAGATAACATGGTATGTTATGGTAAACAGGAGATAACATGGTATGTTATGGTAAACAGCAGATAACATGGTATGTTATGATAAACAGGAGATAACATGGTATGTTATGATAAACAGGAGATAACATGGTATGTTATGATAAACAGGAGATAACATGGTATGTTATGGTAAACAGGAGATAACATGGTATGTTATGGTAAACAGGAGATAACATGGTATGTTATGATAAACAGGAGATAACATGGTATGTTATGGTTAACAGGAGATAACATGGTATGTTATGGTAAACAGGAGATAACATGGTATGTTATGGTAAACAGGAGATAACATGGTATGTTATGGTAAACAGGAGATAACATGGTATGTTATGGTAAACAGGAGATAACATGGTATGTTATGGTAAACAGGAGATAACATGGTATGTTGTGGTAAACAGCAGATTAACATTAACAGCAGCATGTAATTGAATAGCAAGCAGTACATTTTTGGATGAGGCCAGGTAGGGACTAAGAAGAACAAGCAAATAGCGCAAGTGATGAAGCCATTAAATGTGTCATGTATTGTGGAAGTAGTAAGTTGACTCGTAAAAACAAGCTGATAGGGTGCTATGATAGAGTCTATAGCCTGAATAATTCTTCAAAGGCCGACAGTATTTAGCACCTTTGATAAAAGGTTTGTGGTGGCGAATTTCGATGGCTTCCAAAAGGTTTCTTTTCGTGAAGTCATGATGCGTGGTGTATAGGATCTCAAACTCGATTAGATGGGTAGGGAATGTTTGTTGGTGATCTGAGAGGGCTGATTCTCTGTCTGCCTTGGATGTTAAAGTTGTATGTACTTTAATGGGGGTATAAACGGGACGGGAGGTTTCACCACAGCCACAGCTTAACTTGTGGATCATTCCTTACGCTCGTGCGTGTGTGTGTGTGCGTGTGTGTGTGTGCGTGTCCGTGTGTGCGTGTGTGTGTGTGTGTGTGTGCGTGTCCGTGTGTGTGTGTGTGTGTGTGTGTGTGTGTGTGTGTGTGTGTGAGAGAGAGAGACTTTATCTTAACCTGATACCTTTACTCCATCTTTCGATCAGGCTGTGTATAGACTTTTGTAAGTATGATATCTATCTTTGATTTCTAGAAATGTCTGTTCGTACAATAAGGTATTTGTAGCAGCCTTCATCAGTTTTGTCAGTGACAAATTCTGGCAAGTGCAATCGACTTCGGTTTGTTATCATACAAATCCTGATAAGTCGGATTGAAAGTACAGTTGACAGCTGGCTTAGTTGCACCTGAGAGTATATATTTACTGGATGGCGAGTTGTACCTGAGAGTATATATTTACTGGATGGCGAGTTGTACCTGAGAGTATATATTTACTGGATGGCGAGTTGTACCTGAGAGTATATATTTACTGGATGGCGAGTTGTACCTGAGAGTATATATTTACTGGATGGCGAGTTTAACCACTCTAAACTTTAACCATGATTCATTTGCTTCAACACATTATCTCTACAGGGATGTTCTTACTGTCCCCAAAACTATTCTGATGGCTTGGTTATGAATTGTATCGAGCTCTCCAAACTCTCCATACCATATACGAAACATCTATAGTCAAGTTCGGATCTAACCAGTGATCTATAGAGGCGAAGAAGTATTTAATTTGAATGCAAATGCTATGACTCCAAACTTGTCTTCTTTAAAGGGGTACAAATATATAAATCATTTATTGATATGGTTATAAATGAAACCCAGTCATTAAAACTACTTATTTCGACCTTTAATTAACTTAAATCGACCTTTCTGACGGTCCAGGCTCATAACGCCGACCTTTCGACCAAACGTTACGGTTGAGTGAAATATAAAGGTCGACGTCCTGAGACTAGTTTCATTTTGCCAATTAATAATGGATTACGAGGACAATGAAGGATCAACGAGTTGTTAGAGGAGGATAATCCGGATTATGCGGATGAGAGCACACCTAATGAGAAGATGACAACAGTTTAGATTTTTATCAGTTTATTTCCATACCTGAAACACTCAGTTGACAGATTTTAAAGGTCACATGCAACCAAAAAATCAAACATAATTAAAACACAGTTATCACTTATTCATGACATATAATATACATTGCTGGTTATGAAAAAACATATAAATAAAATTATAAGCGTACAATCGCAAATCAAAAGTGCAAAATTGTGTACTTCGGTTTACTTCCCAAGAAACGAAGCAGCCGGGATACCGAACCCAGTGAGAGCGGTCGGGTGAGCACTCAAGTGTAACGGCTGGTTCATTTGCAGATGTCCTCACGGCTAATTGTGTGTGTATATATAGAGATGTTGGATTTTGTAAATACATGCTCATTTTTTGTGTTTTTGCAATCAACAGACATCATAACATGTCATGTGTTCAAGTATCACACCTGCCTGTCTGTGTAATTACATAATGTGACAGAGACCGAACTGGGGCCATAAATCATTGCATTTTGTTTATGGTGTATAGCCTGATTGGTGTTAAGTTCAAATTGCATGTGGTCAGTGATAGCAGCTGTGTATTGAATATTGTCATTTGCAGACAGGCAGGTAGACACACAGGTGTCAATAAAACAAGACATTGAGTTTTGTCTGTGACAACGACATATCTATATCACAGTTAGAAATTCTGTCAACGCTAAATAATGACATTGCTTTTAAGTATCGAACTGAGAAAGTGTCTCGGTAAGAAGAACGTGTGGTGAAATAGACAAATGAAATTATATAAACAGTTAATTTACTGTCATAACATATAAAGCTCGCGCCTGTGAGATATCAACAAAACATTAGAAAAATAGCTCACACCAAAGCCTTCACCGAGTATTCACCCGACAACCCGCTTCCAAGCTGCGCGAACCTATTTACTTGCGCACGTGCTATGAGCGCAGCCCAGCTGTTGAAACCCGTTTTCCCCAGAAAAGTCTGGGGAAAAATAGTGAAACGTTTGAACTCCAATTTCGCGCGTTTTTTTTTATCTCGTTATTTTTCAAGTTGAATTTGCATTTTTGACGATTTGTTTCGGTAAGTCCATACCGAAAGGTATCAGAATCTGCAAAGTTGTGTTTTACGTTGCATGTGACCTTTAACATTTTTTTGCAATGATTCACATCAACAAATACATGCCATTTTTAATATTATAAATACATCGTAAATTCATATAGCACACATTTTTTTCGTAAATTTTAACCCAAATGCAATAAGGGTGGGGTGGGGTGCTGAATCAGCAAACTGCCTCACGGACAGTGTTCCTTGTTGAAGCTGGTGACGGATGTCATCCAGTTGTCGCTCCACATCCATGTATACTGGACCAGCTTGTTTTCCGTGTTGGTCTGTTCTCGTGACAGGGACGACACGAGATCGAACATGCCTTGCCGACGTATTTCTTTAGGCGTGGATTGTATTCATCAGGGAAAACCAGGTCTTCTCGTCTGAGGGGAAGTGGTGGCATCACCGCTCGCCTGGCTCAGTAGAGAGCTCCGGGCACACCAGGAAGGTTGGCATGGCAGCAATCATGGTTTTGGTCTCATCATTCCAACTTCCATCTTTCATTTAAGGCCTTCTTCGTAGAGGGACTGCATGGGCTGGAGGGTCGAAGCAGTCTCCACCTTCAGCTTTTCTAGCGTCTCCTTCGCCTACAAAAAAGCAAAGAATTCTTAACCATTTGGGTCCAACAAACAAACAAAGAGTCATTAACCATTTGATTCCAAACTGTTCCATTTATTAAGCAGCTTACTGAAACACTGTTATAAAATTCGACAAAACTGTGGCAATCACTGAATAATATTTATACAGATATAAGAATTTAAACTCTTACCTTAATAGCACTCGTGACCGTTTGATGATTGTGTTCATCTTTCACCATGGTGACGATGTCATTCGTTGTTGATGCTGTGGATTTGCTGTCTTTTGCAGCACATATCCAAGATATCCAGTCTCGTTGTCTCTTGCTGACTCTGTACGTGAACCCGCCAACAACCAAGTAACGACTGCCGAGAGCTGTAGCGATGAATCTCTATCTAGCTGTGCATTTGTCATTTCGAAATCGAATGTGAATCCATTGGCCATTCCATAGATATTTATACCAAAGATATGAACAGTGTTCAATATTGGCACTCTGCTAAGTGTTATTGTAAATTTTTCAATCAATTGGAAGTGACATGTGCGACGAGTTCACCTTATGGAAACATCTAGAGTAGATTATCCGCAACCCTAATCACGCCTAATCAGAACCTAACCTTCAAAGGAAACCGCAGGTTGGCGTCCTGAGACTAGTGGAAAATCGAAAGGTCGGCGTCCTGAGACGACACCCTTTCTGACAACAGTGCACAATTCTCTCCCGCGAACGGAAGAAATCGTTGCAAGAAAGTTGTATCATGCAAAATCCTTTTGGTCATCAATCAAATACATATTTTACTACATCTAGTAAGTATTTTTGATTTTTAACTTCCGTGAAGTGATTTGAACACAAGTAAGATATCGTTCCAAACTTCCACAACGCTCGCTGCGCACTCACAAACGTAACCCATTTAGCACGAACTGCGGGGTTCGGTGGAAATCTGTGCGTGGTGACACCATCACCCGACCCCTGGGAGCAATTGACGGCAACGCAACGATTAGGCATGTCTTCGTTGACGTCGAGAAATCAGCAAATTGACGAGCTTGTTACACATTTTATATACTAATTGAAAATCCTTCCTCACATAACGTGACTTCCGGTTCGCTGCAGTGCTCTGGCCACGGAGTTAAATAATGTGGTTTCGTTGGCGGGCGAGAGGGAAGCAGACGACTTTTTGGCAACTTTTAATCGCTCGGTATTAATTAACCACATTTTTTTAAGAATGAATTTGGTGTTCCGCTAAAGACTAACCACACGCCTTTCATATGTAATGGTTAAAAGAGTACAATAAACAAAAGTTTATTCGTTTTTTAATGATTTTGCTAGGAGTTGTTTTAAGGAAAATTGCTGTGTCCCTATACATTTTATGTTATAAAAATGGATACAACATATTTAGATTTTGAACACTATTTTTCCAGTAACCATTTGTGTAGTTTATTATGACAAAGCTGCAATTGTCTTTTAATGTTGCTGAAGTAAAAAAGATAAATAAATCACACAATATCAAACAAATATGATTAATCAAACCATACTTAAAGCAATCGTATTGCATAGATGTACATGTAGCATTATTTCCATACAATTACTTTATAGTTATATGTCGCAAAATTAGAAAAAGTATAGTATATGAATACAGCATCATTTCTAAATACAGTCTCATTTTCACAAGACATCAATATCTTGGACTTTGGAGAGTAGGGTTTAGATAGAATTTAGCCGGAAGGAACTGTTTCCAGACATCATCATACATTTGGCACACTAGCAAAAATGGAATTTACTTTCGACATAATCCTGTTGACAAATACAACCACAACATGTTCTCTGGTCACGAGGGGTTATGTCATATCTTCCAGCCACTGTATGCAATGAGAACTGTATCTAAACATGCTAAATCATTTCGACATATCTGAAATTGACAAGGGAAGAATATATATTGAAACTGCTCTCGGCTTTTTTTCTTGTTTTTCGAGCCTGTCAAGCCTGTCTGCAATCAATAAGAAATTTTTGAAAAGATATGCCCAGTGCCCTTAACAACCAGAATCCCGGCCTCCACCAACACAGGGGCGCCACCCACGGCTCACTGATTGCCCAATTCGGTCTCGTCCTAGTACCAGCAATGGGGTGCTGAGTCCTACTACCAGCAATGGGGTGCTGAGTCCTACTACCAGCAATGGGGTGCTGAGTCCTACTACCAGCAATGGGGTGCTGAGTCCTACTACCAGCAATGGGGTGCTGAGTCCTACTACCAGCAATGGGGTGCTGAGTCCTACTACCAGCAATGGGGTGCTGAGTCCTACTACCAGCAATGGGGTGCTGAGTCCTACTACCAGCAATGGGGTGCTGAGTCCTACCAACAATGGGGTGCTGAGTCCTAACCAGCAATGGGGTGCTGAGTCCTACTACCAGCAATGGGGTGCTGAGTCCTACTACCAGCAATGGGGTGCTGAGTCCTACTACCAGCAATGGGGTGCTGAGTCCTACTACCAGCAATGGGGTGCTGAGTCCTACTACCAGCAATGGGGTGCTGAGTGCAATGGGGTGCTGAGTCCTACTACCAGCAATGGGGTGCTGAGTCCTACTACCAGCAATGGGTGCTGAGTCCTACTACCAGCAATGGGGTGCTGAGTCTACTACAGCAATGGGGTGCTGAGTCCTACTACCAGCAATGGGGTGCTGGAGTCCTACTACCAGCAATGGGGTGCTGAGTCCTACTACCAGCAATGGGGTGCTGAGTCCTACTACCAGCAATGGGTGCTGGAGTCCTGTGCCTGAGTCCTACTACCAGCAAGCAATACCAGCAATGGGGTGCTGAGTCCTACTACCAGCAATGGGGTGCTGGAGTCCTACTACCAGCCAGTCCTACTACCAGCAATGGGGTGCTGAGCTACCAGCAATGGGGTGCTGAGTCCTACTACCAGCAATGGGGTGCTGCAAGTCCTACTACCAGCAATGGGGTGCTGGAGTCCTACTACCAGCAATGGGGTGCTGGAGTCCTACTACCAGCAATGGGGTGCTGAGTCCTACTACCAGCAATGGGGTGCTGGAGTCCTACTACCAGCTGAGTCCTACTACCAGCAATGGGGTGCTGAGTCCTACTACCAGCAATGGGGTGCTGAGTCCTACTACCAGCAATGGGGTGCTGAGTCCTACTACCAGCAATGGGGTGCTGAGTCCTACTACCAGCAATGGGGTGCTGAGTCCTACTACCAGCCTGAGTCCTACTACAGCAATGGGGTGCTGAGTCCTACTACCAGCAATGGGGTGCTGAGTCCTACTACCAGCAATGGGGTGCTGAGTCCTACTACCAGCAATGGGGTGCTGAGTCCTACTACCAGCAATGGGGTGCTGAGTCCTACTACCAGCAATGGGGTGCTGAGTCCTACTACCAGCAATGGGGTGCTGAGTCCTACTACCAGCAATGGGGTGCTGAGTCCTACTACCAGCAATGGGGTGCTGAGTCCTACTACCCAATGGGGTGCTGAACTGGGGTGCTGAGTCCTACTACCAGCAATGGGGTGCTGAGTCCTACTACCAGCAATGGGGTGCTGAGTCCTACTACCAGCAATGGGGTGCTGAGTCCACGAGCACCCTGCTCGTCATCCATGTAGGCCATACAGCTTGTAAATGCAAACACAACGATACGTCTTTTGAAATGTCCAACATGATCACGTATAGCGTGCGTGTGGACATTTTGTATCCCCTGCACAACATCCTCCAGGTGGGTCGGCACTCCTTAGCAGAGACCGACAGATGGACTGAACTGGGAATCACGCAAGAATCAGAAACAGAAATAGAACATTTCATGTTCCTACACCAGGAGCGGGCGGAAATAACACCGATTGTAATCAGCCATGTTTCAACACACAGATGTCGATTCACCTTAGTTTTGAAATGTTGAAATCAGCTGTTTCAACAAGTCGATATAAGGTCAAAGGTCCGAGGTTGACCTATTCCACGAGGGATGATCTGTGTGATGTTGAAGGACACAGAGCTGAGATCGTATTCAACATCCAAAATGACACATCAAAAGTTTTCAGTTTATAAACATCAATAATTAATTGAAAAAACTGAAAAACGATCAGCTAAACAGCTTCAGGGGAATAGAGATTTGCCATTTGATTGTGACATCTGAGTCTATTTTTTTAAGATATTCGTATGAAGAATGACAGTGACCCACTCTCCTGGGAGTACTTATCTATTAGTACATGTTTAAAGTTTTATTAAACTCTTGAATGAATGAAGAGATATAAACCTGAGGTTAATTCTTAATATTTTCCTGCGTTAGTATAGGATGACATTGTATTTGGTATTCTGCAACAAATATCATAGAGAAGTGTCCTCACTGACAAGCCCCCGGGAACTGATAGCCGGACCCTTTGCCTCACACTCCGGTACAGCGATGACTTACATAACATCACTGCCACAGGCTAATTTGAATATCACGTGACCGGACTTTTCTCTTGTTTGTAATCAAACGCGCATATTCATAATAAGAAGAGACTGGACTCACGAAAGCTATTCGGCGCTCTCTTCATGTTTTACATTGTTACATATATATTCTTCCACAACTGCGGCAGTTAGGTCTATGACAGTACATATTTAGATATCAAACTGGCTGCATCGTTTACTCTCCGTCGGCTTCGATGACTGCACGTGGAGCCGTACAACCTATGTAAACAAAGGATCGCTACGCAAATCGAAATAGTGTTACATATTTTTGGATATTTTCTCAGTGAAACTAAACCATTCTATTAAAGATGTTTAGTTAGATGTGTAGACTCGTCAAAAATAAAAGAGTAAAAGAAATCTGTACATTATATTGAATGGACATTGCAAGATGTGACGAATCGTCACATTTTTCTGGCCGGTGGCAGAGGTACTATGCTGGCTTGCCGCATGGGACTCTGGGTAGGAGAGTGCCTTTGCCTGTCAG